GTTTTTCAAATTCTTCATTCTGTATTTGGTGGTGAATAGATGAACAAAAGTAAGAAACGCAAACAGAGAAGATAACATCACATTTATAGAGGTATGATAAAATGAACATGATATCATGAAAATTAACAGAGCTGGGGTTTATAATGGATCTACAAAAAAACACCATCTAGATGTTAGTAATGCAAGTTTCATTCAGATTGGCCCACCCATTAAGGTGGAGAAAGGGCACATACTCTGTAAGAAGATTATTGTTCTCACTTAACACAAGTAATTGTTAACGTGGCCATGTCACTACTCTAAAGTCAGATGGGGCAAGAGCAGTAAGACAGGCCAACAGTTCAGCTGGATTTCTAAAATAAAGAACATACACTATGTGGACAAAAGGATTAGGAAACGCCTTTTAATTCAGGTGCTTTCAGTTTCATTGCCACAGGTGTATAAAGCCAAGCACCTAGCCATGCAGTCTGCCTTTACAAACATTTATGAAAGAATCGGTTCTGTAACAGGATGCCACCATAGCAACAAGTCAGTTTGTAACATTTTCTGTGACATCTATAAATTCCACGATCAGCTGTAAGTGTTGGTAAACCACGTATAGATCATAAAAGACGCCAACTCTCTGCTGACTCAGTAACTGCAGAGCTCCAAACCTCTGTCATTAACATCAGCACAGAAACTGTGCACCAGGAGCTTCATGGCATGAGTTTACATGTCGAGCAGCTCCTGTTGGTGGAACATCGTGTTGGCTAAGTTCTTTGGTCCATATAATGTGTGTAGATTAGTATGCACCAAACAGGGAGTTGGCATTAAGGGAGCTAACGTTTATTTAGCTGAACTTAAGGTAAGAACCTCCTATCCTTCCACATTTCCTTTAAGCAACGAAGCAGATCTCTAAAATGGTTATTCCTCTGTGTTTACTGTAACATACAGCTGAAATAATCCATCTTTCATTAATTCATCTTCACCAACATTAGAATGAGGTTCCTTGTATGTGTATCTCTGTGTGTCTGAGTGTAGATGCTCCATGGTGTGGACACTGCAAGGAGTTGGCTCCCATCTGGGATCAGCTTGGTGAGAAATATGCCGACCATGATGACATCATCATAGCCAAAATAGACGCCACAGCCAATGAAGTGGAGTCTCTTGACATTAAGAGTTTCCCAACACTCAAATACTTCCCAGCTGGTGACAAAGAGGTAAACACACACGCGCACACACACGCACACGTGCACACACACACCTCTACACACTGCATTCTTTCCTTTTCTCTCAGGTGATCGAATACACTGGAGAAAGGGACCTGGAGACATTTTCTAAATTCCTGGATGGTGGAGGAGTTTTACCTAAAGAGGAAAAGGATGAGGATGATGATGATGAGGATGATGATGATGAGGATGAGGTGGATGAGAAGAAGGAAGCCGACAAGGCTGCTGGCGATAGCAAGGTTTGTGTTAACGCTGCAGATTTATGCTGTTTTTCTTTTAAAAATAATCCACAGTTCACACGTTTTCCTCTTTTTCAGGAGCCCAATGAGTCCGCAGAAGAAAAGACCAACAAAACATCCAAAGATGAGCTGTAATGTCACTTTTTGGCCAATCAGGATCAACCTAGCAACTTTGAATTTTCTTAATAAAAGTGATACAGGTTTAAAGCGTTGGCTTTGTTGTGAAAAAGCTTTAAACTTTTTGTCTTGATGCTTGCTTCTTTATATGTCTGTTGAGTGCTTCACACGGCTGGATTTGACACGTTCAACACAGACGGTAATATTTATACAGACTCTCCAAATGTGTCATAAAATTGAGCTTCAGCAGGATTACGAGGACACGATGGACCAGGATCAAGGTTGGACGTAGCAGTGCAGTGAAAAGAATTTCTTAGAGATTTCTTGGAAACGAGTCACATAATGATTTGTTCTGTGAGTTTCTTTGTGTACAAACTGTGATCAGCTGACTTGTGCTGCTGCTCTGATATTCACTGCTCTTTATCTTGAATTCAACAAGACATAACTGTATGTGTTGTGAGCTATGTGGCTTATTTCTAACCCCCTTAATATGATAAATCTAGTGTAAAAAGTAGAAACCAGTGCGTCTATCTAATCAGCATCACCTCAAATATAAATTAATGTCTGCTACCCTTTATCACTGTGTGAGAGGTATTTGTTATACAATATGGAGGACTCAGGCATAGAACTGAACTCAGTTATTGCTAAACTTACATGAGACTGAATAGACTGAATAGAAAGACTAAGCAGACATGTGGGAATACAAGCTAGGAAACTACACAGGAACTCACAGGACACACAGCTTGAGGGAAAGACAAACAAGGGCTTAAACAGACACAGGAAGTAATGAGGGAGATGGAGTGCACCAGGGAGCACAGGTGAACTAAATCAGGCTAAAAGACAGAAGAAGCAAAAACACAATGCACACATAAGAGACGATCAAAATAAGACCAGAAATAAACAAACACAGAGACAGAGACCCGGACCCGAGACAAACTAGATGCAGGTAAAGACTAAATAAGCACAGAGACATGACTGACCTGAGACAACAGGGTGACCGACCATAGGGACAGGGCACAGTGAGACACAGAAGCATGACCAGGGCCATAGATGAAGATAACTAAATTTTACAGACTCAAAAGATCAAAATACAAACAGGTTACAGCCAACGAGCTTGAATTTATTTATATAGTACATTTAAAACAACAACTGTTGAGCAAATCAAAAGAGAAAAACATAGGAAGACATGACAAAATCTAAGAAGCATAAAGTGAGAAGATCTGAGTAAGAAATAAGACAAATAAAAGTAGTATGAACTTATTCTCATTTAAAAGCCAAGGAATAAAAAGGTCCTGATGTGAAACAGCAGTTTGTTTCACAGTTTAGGAGACTCACGGCAAAGGCCCGATCTCCTCTGTGCTTTAATTTGGACTTTGGGACAGCTAGGAACATTTGATCTGCAGACCTCAGTGATCTTGCAGGAGTGTACCAGTTCAAAAGGTCAGAAAGGTATGAGGGTGATAACGTATGCAATGACTAGGACATGAAGAACTAGAGTGTAATCACATAATAACTCCAAGAATGAACCAAAAACCCACAAAACTGGGAGGAGCAAGAAAAACTCAAGAAACTAGGAGGTGTTAGGACCCAAAGATCCTAACACCCCTGATGTAACCTAGTAACAGTACTTCCATCCCAAATAGTGCATCATTGTAAACGTTATCACGATACAGCAAACTAACCGGTGTAGCCTGAACTAAACTGCCAGCTGTTTTCATGCAAGCTCTGAATAAGACAAAATTCGTATATTCAATTTGTTTTGGAAGATATTTTACAGACATAATTTGGCAATTTTGATCCAACATTTGGTTAAAAAACTCTAAAATGAATCAACATTAATTGCAGATCTAAATTTGATTTTCTAAAACTTCACTTGCTGAGCAGTCCTTACCTTTGCAAATAACCCCTCATCTTCTTCTCTTGCGTCACTTTAACACTGCAGCAGCTGCAGCGCTCACAGACACAATTTGTGACAAACTGGAGAGAAAAAGTTTGTGTTTCCTGATATTTGTTGAGCTGATTGAGAAGTATTTGAAATGGCTCTAGGCTTAAAAAAGTTAACTAATTCAATAATGATATGCTTTAACCTGCCTAATGATAATAATAATGCACATCCATTCACTGTTCACATGCATTTAGGTGTGCAGAGTATCCAGCTGAGGTTCAAAGTGACCATCAGAATGGGGACGAGAGGTGATTTAAGTTACTTGATGTGGCACTTATTGTCATAGTGCAAGACAGGGTGGTCTGGGAATTTCAGAAAATGGTCATCTACAGAGATTATTCACCACAACCATCTGTAGGGTTTGCAGAGAGTGGTCAGAAAAAGAGAGAATATCCAGTGAGCTGCAGCTCTCTGGGTGAAAATGCATGTTGATGTCAGAGGTCAGAGGAGAATGGCCAGACTCCTCTGAGATGAACAGAAGCAAAAGTAACTCAGATAGCCACTACATACAACCAAGGTACGCAGAAGAGCATCTCTAAATGCAGCAGAAGACCGCATCACTTCTGTCTGCTAAGAACAGGAAACTGACGATACAGTTCACATGGATTCTTTAAAAGTGGACAATAAAAGATTAGAAAAAACATTTCCTGGTCTGACGGGTCTCAATTTCTGTTACAACTTTCAGACGATAGGATGAGAAAAATGGATCCATTCTGCCAAGTACCAACAGTTCAGGCTGCTGGTGGATGTGTAACTGCCAAATATGCTCGACTGCCTGGCTGAATGAGGCAGTTGTATAAAACTTTGAGTACTCCAGTGGAGTCGAAAAGCGCTTTATAAAAACCAGTCCAGTTACTATCTTTCCAAAGCTTTGGGGAAAAAAAGAAAAAAAAAGAAAGAAGGAAAAGAAAACCAAAAAAGCACCGGTTGTCTTAGAGCATATATAAAAACTCCCTTTTAACAGGAAGAAACCTGCAGCAGAACCAGACTCAGGGAGGGGCAGCCGTCTGCTGCGAGCGAGGGAGTGAGGAGAGGAAGACAGGACAAAGGGCACACTGTGTAAGAGAGAGTTGGAGATTAATAATAGCTAATGACTAAATGCGGAGGTGTACGTAGAGAGAAGGAGAAAATAAGGTAAAAAAAGGAGAGGAGGAGTGGTGACATTTACAAAAAAAATGTGAAATATTAGAAATGATTGCCAATTATTAAAAAACTTTCCATAATTGCCTCATAAAGAATGATTAGTCTTTGTGCTGGGTATCTAACAATAAATCATACTACAAAAGTTTATTTTATTGCTGTAGATCTTGTAAATATAGTGATTCCAGCTAGTAAGCAGGTATAGACTGATTTAAGTTGAACAATCTTTTCTTCCTGCAGGGAAAACCTCTGAATAGGCAGAGGTGACTAATAAGACAAACAGGTTGGTTTTCATGTGAGACGTAAAATGTTTCCAATTCCAGGGGAGAACAGGTTTAACAGGCTGTGATGTGATGACCATGATCAGCAATGGTACGTGTTTCCTCCTGCCAGTCGTTCTTCCTCATTTGCCCAAGGTAAGACCACTGCTCCGATATATCTCACATTACACTATTTAATTAGCGGGTAATGAGCTATAAGGTTGTTGGCAGGTGTTATTGGAAATGTCTATGTGGCAGGGGCAGGTCTGTGCCTGTCTGGATCAGGTATCGGGACTTGGATGTGTCTTGTTTACATAAGAGCGAAGTCTCATGTGAGCTCGAGTGACTTGACTGCATTCAGCGGGTGCATTTCATGGCTGATACACTCGGTTTTCTCTGATATAGGGGTAGAAAAATACATCTTTGCCAGTCAGAGTTGTGTTTACATGCTGTAATAATTCTGTGTCATCTTGATAAAAAGGTGGACGATGAGTAACACACGTTTAAAAGGGTGAATATTTCACACCAGTTTAAAAACAGTGCAACTATATAGACTAACAGTCTAGATTTGACATTTGTTTCTATTTTTATGATCCCTAAAAGGGATGAAGCTGCTGATATATATATATATATGGCTTCTATAGTTACATTAAAACACAACTAAGATTAATGTGTGCGGCATTATTAAAAACACTAAAGTATGTGAAGTATGAGTAAAAGACTGATTTACGCCATCACATGTTACACTGTGTGTACTGTTCTGACGCTGTCACTTTAAACCAGCAGTGCTAAACAATGAAAGACTGGATATGTAGCGCCTTTCATTGTTAGCAGTCAGGAGGAGAGATAATGCAAGTAGCTATTACGGCAGAATCAGAGCTTCAGACTTAAAAGCAGTAATATGAGACTCAGCATCACAGAGCCTGGCATACAAAGAGCTAAACCGCCACACAAAATACTTTACAATTGACTCTTTCCAGTGCGCCCACATTAACACCAGGATAAACTGAAAGAAGCTAGTGTACACACAGCACATTTCATTTGCAATGCAAGCTGGAAAAGCCCAGGGTATAAAATGTTATTTTTTCATTCTTAAAACCTTATATGTTGGTTTTATTCATTCCCATTTTTTTCCCAGTTTCTCTGATTCAGTCCTAAACAGAGTGATTACACGTGATTCAATGTCATTTTTTTTAAACAATAGTCTTTCGTAACCATGTTTTAATTAATTGGATTACTGGCACTTTTACTGAGACTGTATATAATACATGTTGTCTTGTCAATAAAAAAATGTCCTTTTTGTATATAATGTACTCTTTCACATGGTCTATTTTTCAGTTTTCTATATTTTGATACTGGAGAGAGAGACTAACAAAAATAAGTCTGACTCTGACTAGATAGCACAGTGATAATAGTGTGGAAATATGAGGGAAAGGAGTGGGCACCAGTATGTGTGAACTTCAGTTTTTGTTAGTGAGCTAAATGACAAGTAATCCAGCGAAAATTACTTGGAAATAAAGTAATTTTGCTTAATTCAATAGTGTTTTCACACACGTAATGTCCTTTGTATCCTTTATGACCAGGTAAACAACTTTAAGCTGGTCATCGCTTCCACTAATCCTAAAAAGTAAAAATATAAAGTGATGCATTGGATCATGTAAATACATTTTTTATGTAAGTACAACTTTTGATAAAAGTAACTTCCCCATAATCCAGTCCATCAAATTACCCCTAAAAGAAGAACAGCAAAAGAAAAAGGGCACGACTGACTCCACGATACTTTTATCACAATTCTGATAAGAGTCTCACATGACTCGTGTCACATGTTAAGAACCTAACATGTGACATTAGTCGTGTGTTAAGAATCGCTAATGTGGGTTCACCAAACGCAAGATCATTGTCAGCTTTTTTCCCCACCAAATACTAGAAGATTGTGACGACTTGTGAATGAAGATAAAAAATAACCTGTTTTAAAGTGATGACAAATAAAAAGATATTTAATTTGTCACTGAAGGAAAAGCACAGATGTTATCAACAGCAGGAGCTACGTGACTCGATAATTGTGAAGAAGAGTCTTACATTAATGCCCTTTTGGGGTTTTATCTGGAAAGCAAGACTGTACCAAGTCAAAGATATCTGGGTATAGACTTACATCGTTTTTATGTAATTAACTATCTGTGATGAAAACACACATTTCAAACTTGCTCTTATCTACATTTCTGTTTTCATCTTCATGACAGAATCCTGTTTGATCTGTTTGGATGGACCCCCCTTCATATGAGGAGGCCAGTCGCCAACCTCCTGCTCTGCCCATTGCAGCTTTTAACGCCCCCCCGCCCGCCTATGACGCCTCTCTCTCATCCCCACCGACACCTCCACCTGCCTACAGAGAAGCAGGTGAGATAAAAATCTTTCTGCTTCCTTTAACCCCATTTCTCGAGTCAGCTCGTGAGATATTGCTGACAGGATGTACACACTAACATGTGTCCTTTTCTATTTATTTTTTGGCATACTGTTTACATGACATACCAGTTTTACCAGGCTGATTTGTAGAAATGTCGTCATTAAGTGTATTTATGCTTTTACTCTGCCAGACAACCACTTCAGTGCACTCTGAAGTAAATTTAAAAAATATATATTTAAAGTAAAGTGTGGAAGGAAACCCTAGTGTGACTGCAAAATAACATGTAAACATTTCTTTTTCTGTTTTTAAATCACAGTTACAGTTCAGCCAGATCCTTTTCCTGTCCTGTCTGTGCCAACTGCCGTGTCCTCGCCTCCCCACCAAAGCACTGGAGTCATAGTCCATCCCATTACTCAAAGTATAAAGATTGCACTTTTAATATTGACTTTGTTATGTAGACCTGTTCAACTGCTCATTAACGGAAATATCAAATCAGCCAATCACATGGCAGCAAACCAAGGCGTTTAGGCATGTAGGCATGCTCAGCAAGTTCAGTTCAGTCTCTATGTGCTGCACGCTGGTTTCACAATGTAAGAGCCTCAGTCCATATGCTGTCTGTAGTCTACTCACCAAATGTTTGTATTTTAACCCCACAGTGCCTGTCGTATCATATTTAATTCATGAGTTTTTGTGAGTTTTTGAGACTTCATCATCATCACAGTGATCCCCGTGGAAAGCCTGTCTAAACAGCACTAGAGAGAGAGAAACAAATGTAACAAATATAATTTCAAAGTAAACTCATGCATGCAAATGAATATGTTTTTTCTCAGAAGGTTCACAATATTTTCAAAAATCTTGAACTTTCTGGCAATTATTTCATGTTTCCGGCTTTAAAGGGTCAAAGTGTAAGTATTTAAAAAGCTACATTAGGTTAAATTTTGGTTTTTCTGTGTTACAGTTAATCCGCATACTTCTCGCGCTGCAGCTTCTGCTCCAGCTGCTGCGTCCTCGCGTTCCCGACAAGGCAAGTATCAAGACTACATCTTTACTATAAGCATGATCTCTTTACTGCTATTTACACTTACTGGCCACTTTGTTAGGTACACCTTTTCATCTGACTGTCAATGCAAGTATCTCATCAGAAAATCACAGGGAGGTAACTAAATGCATTTAGGTATGCAGATATGGTCAAGATAACGTGCTGAAATTGAAAAGGAGCATCAGAATGGGGGAGGAAGGTGGCATTCGTGGCTTTGAATGTGACACGGTTGTTCTCGTCAGACAGGCTGGTCTGAGTATTTGAGAAAAAGCTGAACTCCTGGGAGTTTTCCACACAACCATCTCTAGGGTTTACATAAAATGGGCCAAAAATATCCAGTGAACAGCAGTTCTCTGGATCAAAATACCTTGTTGATGCCAGAGGTCAGAGGAGAATAGCCAAACTGTTTCTAGCTCATAGAAAGGCATCAGGAAACAAGATATGCAGAAGAGCATTTCTGAACACACAACATGTCGATCCTCGAGGCAGAAGACCGCACTGAGTGTCTCTCCTGTCAGCTACGAACAGGAAACTGAGGCTACAGTTTAAACTGGCTCAACAAAATTGAACAAGAGAGTCAGTCATTTGGTCTAAGTAAGTAAATACATTTTATTTCTATAGGATATTTAAAACCAAAATGTGTTACACAAAATAAAACAGAATAAACAGGTTCCTATAAAAAAAACAGCAGCTAACAGCAGCCAATCCTCCAATCACAGCTCAACAATTCAACTGTTTCACAAGTCTAACAGAAAAGGCAGCTCAGATTTAAAAACAGTCTTCACTGATGCTTGCACGAGGTCATCTGGGAGGTCATTTAAGAGTTTTGATGCAGCAACAGCAAGGACACAAGCTGCTTTTGAAATAAGCTTTGACTGCAGGGATTATCAGGAGTAACAGAGAAGCAGACCCTAACGATATGCACGCAGCATAAACACCACATATACAAAGCTCAAATCATCTCAGACGGGTTTTCCTGACCATATGGCCTCCATAGTCATCAGATTTCAATTCAACATCTTCATGATGTGGTGGAACAGAAGATTTGCATCATGGATGTGAAGCAGCTGTGTGATGTCATCATGTCAATATGGAGGAAAATCTCTGAGGAATGTTTCTGGCACCTTGTTGGAATCTTGCCATGAAGCTGTAAAGGCAGTTTTGAAAGGGAAAAGGACGTCCAACCTAGTACTAGCTAGGTGTACCTAACAAAGTGTCCAGTGGGTGTATAAGCCTCTGCCTTACTTGTTCTTCTCTCCTTCTAATAACTTCATCTGTCTCCTGAATGGCAGCCGGTGCTGCACCGCGGGTCAACACCAGACAAACTCAGCCGATAGCAGTAGTGAGCCAGCCGCAGCCTGTTCCCATAGCGGTGGAATATCTGAGAGGCGCCCCTGGTTTGGTACACTGCCCACACTGCAGTCATCTTGTAACCAGTAAAGTCACACATGTACCTGGGACAGCTGCTTGGTGCTGGTGTGTCATTCTTGCAATGGCGGGGTAAGAGCCCCAAACACTCACACAGGAGGAGTAGTGCATGTGCACCGGCGCTAAACGAGCTTGAGCACAGCTTCATTGGTGTTTTCTGTGCTTGTGTTTCAGGCTCATCTGCGGTTTCTGTCTCATTCCATTAATGGTACGGGGAATGCAAGACACACATCACTCCTGCCCACAGTGTGGAAACCCTCTGCACGTGCACAAAAGATGACCCTGTGAGGATTAATTAACCTTACACATCGAAGTGTGGACAAATGAACTAATGAACTTGTGATGCTAGTGTGACATCTATGGCAAACGAATACTTTACACAGATGATGGCTGAGGAGAGGCCCGGAGTCATGTGGAGACTTTTGTACAAACTCTCCCAGACTGTTACAGAGGACCTCCAGGTCACCACACACACTACCACAGCTGGTAGCTGTACTGAGACATTTTTCCTTTTTTTCTCCACACTTTAAGGCTCACAAGCAGAAAAGCATTTCTAGGACGTAAATATGAAAAAGAAATTACACAAAAACACTTTTCGCACTTTCTAATCTTGTACAAATGTATTACAGTGTGAGTTCATTATGATTAAATGACACACAGCAATAACACTTTACACTCCCCTAAAGACAGTGCAGGACAGTCCTTCTTCATTGCAGACAATGGGATGAGACAGTTTAATGCAGCCATGTTTAACCACATTTGTCCAAATTCTAACATGAAAAGAGTTTTACAGCTCTGCACTAAATTCTTTTATCATTTATAATTAAGCTTTCATTGCTTTTTAATCAAACTGACTGATTTCTATATCTGAAAACGAAAAAAACAAAACTTTGATGTTTTTTTAGCTTTACTGCAGGTACAACAGAAGTTTTTAAAGTACCTTTAACTGCCTAACTACACTATTTTACTCTTAGTGATAGTTAGAAAAAAGGTTATGTGGTTTAAATTATTATATTTATTACATCTGTTATTATTTCATGTGAGAATGGTGACCTAACTCTGCTGCACTGCTTTCTAAGCAGCTAATCAGTCAGTGGGACTGACTCATTCTGTCGTGTGGCCAAATGCCAGCCACTCCTGATTGAAACCTGTTCCTGAACTGATTTACAGGACTTCTATTTACTTAGCAACATATAAAAGGTTTGTTTACACCAGCAATGTTTACTCTCTGACAAGCAGACCCATAAATGTTTAGCTTTACAAATATGTTATGTGATCAAAAAAATTCATAAATAAATAGAAATCCTTAAAATACCTTAATGGTTGTGATGCGTTGGAAATCTATCACATAGAAATGGTCCAAAGAAAGTACACCCTCTTCAAATTCCAAGTATTTAAGTAAGTACCGGTATATCAGGAGAGTGCAGAATTATTAGGCAAGTTGTATTTTTGAGGAATAATGTTATTATTGAACAACAACCATGTTCTCAATGAACCCAAAAAACTCATTAATATCAAAGCTGAATGTTTTTGGAAGTAGTTTGT